AAAAAGTCGGACTCGACCTTGAGGGAAGTTTTTGGGCAAAGGCCGTCAAATTTCTCCGCCGAATCTCCCATTTTAAAAATCCCTATCTATGTGCCGGCCACGGTCTTTATTCACCGTGGTGCCTTCCTTCCCCCGCAGGTCAAAGTAAAAAGTGACTCGATCAGACGGCTTGACTCGGACCCAATAAATTTTGAAATGGGCATAAGTTTTATTTGAAGTATCTACATATGGAACTTTTTATAAATGTTTTCGTAAATAGCATTGCGCATTGTCTACATTAGAAATTGCATTGAATACCTTCATAAATAAAACATAAACATGCAGCATGCGTTAACAGTAATTTTGAAACCGGTATTAGTTTTAATTTCATTCAAAGTGTCTACATAATTGTGATATTTCATTTAAATGCTTTCATAAATAAGAAAATTGGCAACGTGCATGCGCAAAACAACATTTTGGAAACGTCGTTAATTTTACTTATACTTATTCGTAGTGTTTACATATAAAGTTTCATTTAAATATCTTCATAAATAAAAAAGTTAGCATCGCACTTGCGTTAAACCAAATTTTTGACACTGCGCATGCGCAAAACCCAAAACTATGGGTATGCACGGAATCCTTGGACCAAGCCCCTTCAAATATCACCAAAATCGGTTCAGGAGTTTAGAAGGAGCACGTGTGACAGACGGACGGACGTCAAAGTGCAGCCAATAGCGATTTTTCACTTTTAGGAAAATACGCTAAAAATTTTCTGTGGCTAACACAGAAGCCACCCGCACGCTTGCGCGATTAAGGTATTCCTTTTATGTCTAAGAATGTGTGTACCAAATTCTTAAATATGCAAAATTGTTTTCTACGTCAGTGTAATTTTGAAGCAACCGCTACCATAATACACATCGGCAATAGCAGTTAGACCAAATGTTAAATAGTAAAATGTAGGGTCTGGAGAAGATTCTGTCGTTGAGGTTAAAATTTCGAATATGTCTAAAACGGACTGTCAGGGATAGGGTACTCTCATGGGAAAAAATGGAAGGTTTGAACGAAAGGTGTCGGTCGATAGGGTCAAAGCTTCAAATCCGAATATCTCCAAGCGGAATGTAGGAAAGAGTGCTCTCAAAGATAAAATGCAATGTCCGGAATAGACGTGGTTGTGGGTGTACCGACATTCGAATTATCCAATATTGTTATTTTGATTTTGGCCCGGAAGGCCGATTCGAGCTTCGAGGTAAATACACAAATTAAAATTCATAACAGTTAAGGAAATTCTAAAAATCCAGAATAAATAATGTAAAAAATTAAAAAAAAAGCTGCAAAAAATTAAAGAAATTAAACAAATTCCTACGATTGTATAATTTGATATTAAAAACTTTGTGTCATGAATAATTCCTCGAAAAGATCAAAACAGATAAACAAAAATGTTGATTGCAAAAGTTTCTTGATAGTAATCGTTGAATAATATCTACCATTTTCATAGTAAGTGTACAGGTCAGGTAAAAAAGATATGAGGCATTTTTTAAACTAAAAAGAGAGAATTATTCTCTTTTAAAAAATGTAACACTAAAAAAATTGAATACTGATTCAAAAAGATTAAAAAAATTAAAAATTCGAAAATTTTCTTGAATTTTTTTAACACAAACCAGTTTTAATTACTTGAATCTTTTTTGAATATCATCCCTTGTATATTATATTTTTGAATAGAGAATTTAATTCATAATCGTTTTTTAGATTAAAATATATACGGAATTCTACTTAAAAAGAATAAGTTAGGTATGATAACTTTTTTACCTGACTCCGTACACCTATTTTAAAAACGGCTTCAAGAATCATAATTAAAAAAATTTCGTAAGAAACTTTAAACATATTTGTGTATATCTTTTAACTTTCAAGTTAAACTAAAGCGTTCGCGGGGTGGATCACGAAAAAAGAAATTACGCCAAGAGCGAGAAATCATATCCATCAAACCACCTTCCCGCTACCGACGAAGATTTTCGCAACGTTTCCAAGAAAAACGAGATAGTGTTGAACCTTTTCCGTTAAGCCCCCCCGACCAGGATTCTGTGGCCGGTCCGTGTAGTTGACCTTATTATCAGCGTGCAAGAGGCGGAGCTATATTCATTCTGCTTTAAAATGAAGAAGCATCGCTGGGAACGTGTATAGTTCATTCAAATTGGGACTACCTTGAAGGACGCCAAGGTTAAGATGACGAAGATGCGAACTCCAGTCGGATCATTTTTGGACAATTGCAAATTTACTTTAAACTGTATTCACCTCTATTGTTTGTAGCGCTCAAACGCCGTTCTTGCATGTTATCAACTTGCAAACGACAAAAATGTCACGTACGCAGTTCCATAACTCCATCAGCTACCTGAAGGGAATTTGTGAGAGCTTTTAATAAAGTGAACACGTAATATTGTGAGGAGATATTCTACCAATTACGTGTAAAAAAGTCCGCTCGCTCGGCTGGCTGTTCGCACAATAACTCAAAAACGCTTTAATATATAAAGCTGAAATTTGATACACAGACTGACTTATGGAAAAGTGATTGAAATTTAGGACTGAAAGGGGGGGGGGCGTTTAATTTCTTGAGTCAGGGCAGATCAAAATGCATTCTCGCGCTACTTATTGCTCGCGTGCAAAATTTTGAAGTACGAATTGCTTTGCATAAACAGACGAGTCTCAGACTTTATTTTCAGAAAAAAAGTATGGGCAACAAATTCTATTAGAAATGCCCAATTTTAAATTCATTAATCATTTTAAGCGGTATTAATTAAATCGGGCGGCAAAACGCACCGCGAAAAGCAGACAGTTAAGTAGGTAGGCTTTTTAAACGGATGGATAGTTCCTGTCATTCATCAAAGTAGAATAAAGGAAGCGAAAGAAAAAAAACTGAGTAGTTTGTATTATATTCGGACTATCTACCATCGATAGATCGCCGTGAAGGTTCCATCTATCATTAATATAACAATGAACGGCCGATAATTGTCATGTCACGAATTGGAAAGTAAATGGTTTACCGTTTGAGAGCAACCTTTCTAATGTATTTAATACCAAAATTATTATAAGTACAGTTATCGCTCAGTTCGAGTTATATTTTTAATCGAGAGGATAACGTCGCGTGATCACCTAAAAAAGATGATTTGTAATTTAATTTAAACAGATTTATGGTAAACTAAATCTTCCTGGCGAGTATGAGAATTCCTGTTCTGTGCGTGTTTTCAATTTGTGGCGGAGGACGTGAAATATTTCGAAAGAGAACTTTGACGTTTTGATACATTTCTTGATTACTACATTTTTATTGCAACAATTCCACCGCCCATTTGGCGGTCAATAACACGTTTATAATAATAATAATTCATCCTGTTTGTAAAAACATAACCCGTATTTTGTTAATTGGATTCATTTAATAAACTGTGTAAAATTGATTTAATTTATTGTTACCCTTACGCTCTTTGGCTACTACCCTCCTATTGTTAAGGTAATAAGAATTGACGAATTTATCTTCTGTGTTAGTTTGTTATTTATAACATAACATTTATCATTGTAACTTATACTACACTTCTCCTGTGAATTAAATTAGTATCAACGTTCATAATGCAAACCAATGCAATTGCCTTAAATGGCTCCATTTTTTACAAGAAGTAAAACCGTAGAGTGCATTGTCTCTAGCCACACATCATTGTCAATTGATATCACTTGTTAAATACTAAACTTCGAACATTATCATTTATTACATTTTCAGAAAGTCCAACTAATTCGAGTCTACGGGATTTAAAGCCAACAATAGATGAATCTCGAGAGAAACACAGACACTTTTCATTATTGCTTGTAAAGTTTTATATACAGAAATAAAGAAAACTTCTTGTATTGTACAATCACTGACAAAATTAAGAGGTCCTCAGAGGTAAAAAGGCACACAGCCCCTAGCGATCTGTGAATGAGCGTAATTTTGTCTAACTTATTCCAAAAGTCAAGGATTATTTCATTTTTAAAATGCACGAGAGAAAACTCACACAAACAATTCAAAAATATTGCGCAAAAGACTAACACTTAGATTTCCTAATTCGTAAGGTAAATACAGGAGTAGTATAGAATAACTTAAGACCTTCTGCAGATGCACCTCTAAAAAGCATTATGCGGGTCACTCTGTAATTGGGCACAGGCCTGTTGAGGGCCCAGAGAGGGATAATAAATAAAAAATAAATAAATAGATAGGACTAGTGTTAAATACCTTTCACACAATTTCATCATTTACTACATTTGAATACTTTGTTCATTAGCCATCAATGGACAGAGCGTTCAAGAATTAATGCTCTTTCTTACAGGTTTTTAAATATGACCTCTTATGTCTGAGTTTCTGACTCTACCCCATTTGTATAAAATTGAAATGTCCCACGCATTGTGGATGTGTCCAGATAAACTATTATTTGTGAAACGATTTTTCTAAAATTTCAACAGAAGCTCTTTTCAATATAAGTAAATTGATCGTTGGGGGTTGCAACTTCATATGGACATATCTCATGAATGGAGTGCTGGAAGCGGGTGAAAATTGTATGTGATTGAGCAACATCTTTTGAAATTAACTTTACGTACCTAAAGCTCGCCTAAACACAAGATGCTAGGCAAAAGTGCCAATTTGGCCTAATGGCGTTGATCATTAGATATGACCAAAGGAGTGTCTGATGCAAATTTAGGTTTAAGAACTGAATAGTGAATTGAATGAATACAAAAGTTAGGCAGTTAATCCAACATAACCAATGAGTTGGACTTACCTGTAAGAAAAATAATATCCATAACAAAAAAAAGTGATAAAGAAATATCTAATTTGATATTTGTTAAAAATTATTTTTAAACCCACAAGAAACAGTAACTGTTGGACGATACACAAATAAAGTCAAAGAACTTCTTTAAACAAAAGCCGTGCAATTTTTTGCATATCAAAATTATATCGCAACAGGTTACACATGCATCAAGCAAAAAAGAATGTAAATTATTTGAAAGACCTGCGCAATGATGGAAGCCACTTTATCTTTGTCAAACGTGGAAATGATGCGTTTGTTCTTCAAATGATGGGGAGTATCCCTACGATGTAAACGGCTAGGCTTTGAAGCATCTGGTTCATCATTAACAACTATGTTCTTCATGAACCCAACATGTTTCCTCACCTGTTCCTGTATACCCAAATACATGCACAAACCTAAACGAATCTATCAAGTCGCAAGCTTATTGAAAATCACAAGTGAGCTGGTACGAAAATTTTGCAATTTGATAGATTCAATAACCCAAATTGTTAATTACAAATCGTTACGTTAGAGTGAATCAATGAAGTCATAATGCGGAATGAAAACTTACCTCCTCACTATCTTCGTCCGCGCTGGGCTCACTACTTTCTTCAGCTCCATTTCCTAACTGCACCTCCTCGGTTAAATTGTTGTTCTTCTCCACTTCTGGCGGTGATACGATTGCAGGATTGATGGCTTCGATGAACGGCTCGGAATTTTGTTCGTAGCTGTCTTCCAGCGAATTTTGTCCCTTTGCAAAGAGCTTGTGCGCCTTTGCCTTTAATTCCTTAGGATGCGGAGTATTTTGTCGCACGAAAGGCGTCTGCACATACAAAATTACAAGACCCATGTATCAGTAAGTCTCTTACATTTTTCATGGGCTTTATTTAGTCCAAGCGTAAAAGTGCCTCAATAATTACAACTTCTAATTCCAAAATAACCACGTAAATAAAAATTGCGATGAAAGTCAAAATGGTCAAGCTTTGAAGGTACATACTCAATTTTAAGCTACTATTATGCTAGATAAATTACATACATACATCCTGCGTTTATATCCCACAAAAAATTCAATTGTTACAAAAAGCTATTCTGAAAGAGCAGTCCACAAATAAACTGATAGGTAATAAGGTGACAAAACCTCACTCCTCTAGCTCAATTTACAGTGGTCGTTTATTAATGTAATTTTGGTGTGAAAGGTCAAATAATTGATTCATTCAATAAAACGGGACTCAAATTTAATGTAGGTATCATTAAAACGACAGCACTCATTACACAACAGGTTAGTGACAGAATTCGTAACGACAGTCAAGAGCGTAATTATTTAATAATGCAAGATCACAATCACTTTTTATAATACAAAAGAAAAACGTGTTTATTTATAAAGGTAGGTAAGTAATTTTAGTTGTTGATACACACAGTGCTGCTCTACTACTTCCAATTGGTTCAAGAATTACATGTGAAAAATTTATTTATAGTTTTGTATATTTAACTTTTTATTATAAGACACCAGTCAAGTGCAATTCTTTTATCACTCAAACATTTCATGCATTTCATGCACAGATTCTGTGATGATTGTCATGCATGAACAATATTGTAAAATGTTTGTTTTAGAATTGCCATTCTTAATTTGTACAGCACAATGAGTAAGTCAGGTAAGATGACACACCACAGCATATGCTTTTAAAAATGACTAATAGTAAGTTCTGCTGACATTTTGTAATGGCTGAAAATGCTTTTTGAGATTTGCACACATTATGGAAGTTTATTCATTCGCGCTTGAATTTAAACAAATTATTGTTGACTAAAATATTCAATTTTAGGCATTGTAGTGAGCCTTTCATCTATCAAATGTTGTAATTGTAATCAGAATTCGCAATCCCCCATTGAGTCAAAAGTGAACTTTTCTTTGCAGTTCTGAAATGATCATCAATGGTTCTAAACTTCAAGGTAAGACTTAGCATGGCGAAAGGCCTCGTTAAGTGGAACTAACAATCTGCACCTATCAAATAAATTTAATTAAATACTTGCGCTTAATCTCATTTACACGATTAGATGTGAAGGAAAATGCATTTTATAAATTGATATAATAGCAATAGTCAGTTGAGAAAAGTACCAAATATAAATTAAAATAATTAAGTGGTAATTAGAACAGAAAATAGAAATGCACATTTAATGTTTCCAGTTTCCCGAATTGAAAAGTAAATGAGGAATTTTTTAAGCTACAAGAAACCTATTCACAACTTTGCTCTAAATTAATTAGGGGAGAAAATTTTCAATATAAAGGAATTAGTGTTGAAATCCCTACAGGGAGTTAACCATTTTTACACCCTGTGTACAAATGAAACAAGTAGCGCAGTGAAGGCACCGATCGGGCGAATCCCTAGGTGGCGGATAGGGGAACGCCCACACAGACAGCTGAATGATCGTAAAGTGACTCATTCTTCGGGGTGGGTAGTGATGAGCTAGCGCCAACACTGGTAGTGACGAAGGTCGTCGCTGTGGACCAACCTCCCAAGTCAAGGTGTTAGTGATCGTGCGGAGAACTTTGTGGCACTGAGGTGCAGTGTCTATAACGGCGTCCCTCGGATACCGGATGACCTCTCCTCTTCGGGCAGCCAAGCCCTGGGCAAGCGGCTTTGCCTAGGTGAGACCGCATTTCCCACTACTGAAGGGAATTGTATGGGCGATAATCTAAACAAACCCTTTCTGGAATCCTCATCAGAGGGGACCAACAAGCCAGACCCTTGGGCAAGTTCTTGGAATGAGGGGACCCCTCCCACGCAGGGCCTTATTCAAGGACCTGGTGATGGGCCAGGAAGCGCCGGCTTGCGGGTAAAACCTCGGAACAAGCGGGCCTTACGCAAAAGCCTAGGGCTGTGTCTGGCCCGGTAACTCAGGCCTGAAAAGAAGCACAGAGGTTTTGGAGTACCTAAAGTTGCGGGTGCACCACAAACCTAGGGGCAACTCGCTGCGACGGGGTCCAGGTTGACCATTATTCGATATCACACCCGGAGGTGGACATTACCGAGCCTCAGTCAAGGTACATTATGGCTTCATTGAATGCAGTTGTTGAGATGATGAAGGGGGGCCCGTCCTTCGGAGGGGGGGCCCTTCCTTCGTCTGGCAGAGTTCCGCTGGAATGACGCATTTCAGAAAGTCTAGAGGCACGTCCCTAGGTTAACCAAGATGAGGGCTGTGTTATACGAGCTCCCGGATGACACAGTCACCATCTTGAAGAGCCTCCAGAGGCCAAATCCTGGTTTCCCTATGGAGCCTGGTAGGACCCTCCTCGCATTTGGTGTCGATGAGGTACCCTATCAGGCACTCCAGTGACGAAAGCGAGTGCTCCACTGGAGCAGTGGGACCCAGTTTCGTTGCGACGGGGGGGGGGGATCTTTTTAATAGGCCTTGAACTTGGTCTCATACAAGAACCTTGAGTTTCCAGGGGACGCGTAGAGGGACAACTGAACCCTAGGACTTTTTTATGTTCTTGGTGGTCTCCTCAGCCTCTCTCCTGTACAACTTGGAAGAGGATCCACCTACCAGGCACCTGGCTGAGTTGATAGAGCACTGTCGAAATGGCAGGCTCTCTCTTGAGGTTAGGTGTGATGTTAACGCACACCGTGTTGTGTGGGGAAGTACAGATAGGAACTCGAGGGGCGACCACCTTCTGGAGTACTTGTAAACAACCGACTTGAATGTTTTAAATCAGGGAGCACCCCCTAACTTCGTCTTAGCGCGGAGGTAGGAGCCTATCGAATCTGACCTTGAGTTCCTTTTTAATAGCTCACATGATACAAAGTTGAAGGGTGTCTGATGAGCCGGGAAGATCTCAAGATCGCTCAGCGTAGGTATAAGGACCATATTCGAAGGTCTAAGCTAGAATTATGGAGGACTCTTCTGTGGGAATATAGAAAATTTTCCTGAAGTTTAAAAACTTCAAAAGATCCTTTTGAAAGACTCACAGCAAAAAGTGATGACATTGACGCTTTCATGCTTTCACATGACCAGGTCAGCAAAATATTTGGGAGTTATCATAGACTCCCGCCTGACCTGGAAAAGGCGCATTGAGCGAATAAGCAAAACGGTTACTGCATATCTAAGGGTAGGTATGTAGAACAGCTTTTGGCTGTACATCGAGCTTGAACCCTGGACTGGTATATTGGCTTTATACTGTATGGTGGCCTGCCATGCGCAGGGCAATCTACAGGAAGCAGCTAGATAAGGTGCCAACTATACCCTATTCATTTTAAGAAGGTAGCGGTAGAAAGTATAGGGAAGCTTTGACCTTCACTTTGGTTAAAACACTAGTAAGTATTACGCTAATAACTAAAACGAGTGACGAATTTTATTAGCTGGTAGTTTCTGTTGCGAACTAATCTGTTGAACTGTCATTAGCTGTTAATATCAAAGAACCAAGCATGAAATCATTTGTTTTATTTCTATTTGCAGTGCTGGATATTCCTACTTACAATAATTTGGTGCTGTTTTGTAATTTTCCTGTGTGTGCTTATCTTCAAACACAGGGCCATCTACTACCTTCTTATAATGAATGCAGTATAGTCAATTCTAGGTTCAGTCACAACAAGCAACGGAACTCAGACTGTCAAGGGGCTTCTTAACAGAGCCACTTGGCAAATCTGGGTCTTATAAGTCTATAAGTTTCTAAAACTGAACAGAAACCAGATTAAGAAGATCACTGGTGTCCTCCTATCACCTGCACAATATTGGACTTGCAGGAGAGCCTACGTCTGACAGACATCAGCTCTTTGGCGACAGTTATCCGTTATTGGACTAAACAGGATCATATCTTTTATTGAAACGAGCGGGCTATGACCCCTAGTTACGAAAGGAAGGGGGTAGGTGCCTAAGTGCTGCCTGGTCGGGATCCCCTTATGAATACATATGAAAAGAGAACATTTCAGATTTTCTGAGGTAGTGGGTTTGCAAAAAGTGAGTCCTCAGTTACAAAGCGTGGCATTTTGCATCAACTAGAAAACGCATAATCCATGGGTTTAAACCAAGGGTTCCCAACCAGTGACACATGTAGTATGCGGGTCTGTTTCAGGTGGTACGCGTGACGTGGATGAAAGAAGCAATTACATTAAGGGCCTTTGGGTGCCTGCAAGCTGTAAAATTGGTTTGGTGCTCGTCTAGCAGCGTTGCCGGCCGGGCGCTGACTGGTACCCCTGAGGCCCTGCATTCCGCTGCTTCGCGATCGCCAGTTTGCATCCAGCAGTGCAACAGTTTTAAAGAGAATCTTTAATTGACTTCTGGATTGAATGTAAAACTGAGTATCCAATGCCCTTCTGACAAGCTATTCTAATTTTGATGCCATTTATAACAAGTTACTTCTATGTGTGACTCTTGGAACTGTTACAAACATAGTAATAGACTCTATTGAAGAATTCGAAGTAAAAGTTCAATTATTTCTCCTGAAATTGACACTTTAATTACCAGAAAACAAGTTTCTCATTAAACTGAATCATGAATAAATGTTGATTTTTGTTTATTTTGGCTTTTAGTTTGTACTAATTATTTAATATTGCACTATGTTTTTATCGGTCATCATTTAAAATAATCCTGCATATAGCATTTATAACCAAAAATAAAAAATATCAATAATGTGCAATGCTATGGAAGATTTCAAAGTCAAATAAACATCAATGACACATAATTGTAATTTTAAATACCAGCAATATGTACATACAATACCATCGATAGAAGGCTACTGAATTGTTGCTTCGGAAGGTACCCTTTTGAGAATTATTTATCATACCCACGAAGAAATTATGGAAATTTAATACTTTTAACAGTCAGCAA